TCCAGTTTAAGAGTACATTGCATATCGTCAAGTATTTCGAATCAATCAACTCTCTCTAGCACCTACACCTGTCCTTTTTCCTTAACGTTTCTTTCCAACCCAAATCTACGCAGTTCTTTGCGTGTGTAATCAATTTTTAGTATCACGCATTGATATCATCCGTTTTTTTGAAGGTCATGTCCCCGTTGTTCGAAGGGTGGATAACACTATCCGTCGGATAAAATTCTATCTGGTGGATAACGTCATCATCGTATTCATCATCATCATTGTCATCCTCATCATCATCATCATCATTGTCATTATCAACGTCATCATCATCATCGTCATCATCATCGTCGTTATTATCAACGTCATCATCGTCACTATCAACGTCCTCATCATCATCATGAACAATATAATTAATTCTTAACTTACCATAAACACGCAGTGCTGCTGAGTAAGCAGCTGTATTTGCTTTGTTTTTTGCTGTACACTTGTAAGTCCCATTCATCTCTTTCGTGACACTTGGCAATACCAGGTTTGATTCTCCTTTGCGATTGAATTGATTGATACCAGATGGCAGGTTACCATTATTAAAAGTCCAGACCAAGGTTGGTTTTGGAACACCTGAGGCTCTACAAATAAGGTCTACACGGTCTCCTTCGGTAACATATCGGCTTATCGGAGGCGTAATAATCTGGGGAGAGACTTGAAATAAATAGATCCCCAAGTTAAACAAAGGGCCGTATTGTCCATTTTAACCCCCTCTCCCCCGTCCCTAATCCAACCCTAAATTAACTAGTTTCAAAATAAAAGCAAACTACAATATTGCCAAGTCTATTTTAATCCAACTTCATTTTTGCTGATTTAGCAAATTTCAACTCCATGAAAATAAGTTGGCATGTTCTCACTCTTTAAATGTTGTCATTATTTGATTACTTTTTTTATTATTTTAATCAATTTTGAACTTTTGTGGTTTCAAGCCCTTAAATCTGATTTATACCTCAGAATCAAATTTTGTTCTTATCTTTTTTGTATGTAAATGAGAACCGTACCGTACCCGCCACTTCGATCCAGAAAGTTGAGTTTTTGCTCCCTTCGCTGTTATTGGCCCTGCATGTGTATTTACCAGAGTCTTCAAATCTCGCTTGACGAATCCTGAGAATGTTTTTGTTACTGATATGCAACCCATCCTTAGTCCAGAGTATCTCAGGTGTAGGGACACCGCCTAGAGAGCATTCGAACTCAAGCGGTGAATTATATGTAACCAACTGATCCTTGAGCTCAGGATTAATTTCCGGAGGACCTGGGCATAGAATTAACAAACACAATGCAAAAAGGTGAAAGAATGAAAAAACAAAACAAAGCAAAACAAAACAAAAAAAAGAGAAGAGCAACTGAAGGAAACAAACGTTAGTCAACATTTACCTGTGACATATGAAAAATTGATTGAATTTTCCCTTCACTGTTTTTAGCGCCGATGTGTATCAACCAGCATCTGCATAACTCACTCGATTAATCGTGAGAGTGTTTTTGTCACCAAGATTCAACCCATCCTTAGTCCAGAGTATCTCAGGTGAAGGGGAACCGCTTCGAGAAGAATTTGAACTGAAGCGGTGACTTATATGTAACCGATTGATTCTTGAGCTCAGGATTAATTTAATGTAAATTGACCACCATAAAGACTTTTAAAGCTGACATTTCGACCGTTAGCCCTTGGTCAGAGCTAAAACTCGAAATATGAGCTTGGAAACTACTAGCGGTGGCCAATCTACATTACCAACTCGGTTGGCAAAACCAAAGTGTATTTTACAAAGAGTTTGGAAGTTAATAAAGGGACAGTCGACCAACAAATGGGTCCTTTACTTTCCCCTCATACATGAGACCACTTACAATCACAAGGCCGTGATTCCTGAGCTCTTGAGCAGTCAAATTCTAGAAGTAAGATTATCCAGGTAATCTTTTAAAAGTAATAAACGATTGGAGATTAAGTCATCTTATTTCTGTTAGAGAGAACATCCATTGAGAAAAACTGCTGAAGGTTCCTGCCTAATCATTATTGCAATCTATACATAAGAACTCATCCAATTGAATAGAGGCTTATAAATGCTGCATAGTTTTTTTGAAGTTGTAAAATAATGGCGAAACCCGCCATTGCACTTTCGAGATACAAATTCTAAAAAACTCCCTCTTGTCACTTACTGACTATTTGCCGGTACTGGATACCGCACACTTTGCAGACACTCCAAGATGACGACGCCATACAACCTTTGAAAACAATAGGTTGCGCGCAAAGAGTCATATGTCATATTATCACTCTAACTATGCTCTTTACTTCCTTTGCTGCATTAATCTCAGCTTGTCATAAAGGATACCAAATTAATATCACCAACTATCAAGATAGAGAACTGATTTTTTTGTTTGTTTGCTCCAACAATTGACCTTG